GAGAGCTCTGTCATTTTCATGGTAGCCACAGATGAAACCAAATATTTACATACACTGAATATAGAGACACAAACACAATTTTTCTTTGACGTCTGAAGTTAAATCAGACCAAATATTACTTGTCTTAGTGTAGTTCAAATTACCAAAATCTTTTCTAATTGTTAAATGCCAGAAAACTTGGAGATAACATTTTTTAGACTTTTTTTGTAGCTTTACTCAAATTCAAAAGTTTCCAGTTTACTAACTACATTTGCTCAGTATCATTGGTATTTGCCTTTATTCTCCCCCCACCAAAATGTTGGGTTAGAGTCTGAGATTCCTGAAGTTGCTGTCTCTGTAGTGAGTCCATTTTGAAACTATGGTGTGATCCAAAGCAACCAGGAATTTTGAAATATAACGGATGATAACGATGGGTCTCCCTGGCAGCTGGGAACGGGGGTCTCTTTGGGCCCCTCTAAACATGTGCATGTATTTGTAATCATATAGAATCTGTGGTGATTATGGGAAATGACATTTGAGTGTATGTTCATTAGAAAAGGCTCTGTGTAACCTAAATACAGTTTAAAGATGAGATCACATGAATTATATACATCAGGTCAATATATTGATCTGTTTAAATTAGATGGGTGTAAAAACGTTGGTCCTCAGTGAGAGCTGGGTGTCTGTGTGTGCACTAAGACAGGAGAGTGACTGATGTCCAGGCTGTCTGGCCTCCTGCCTTCATCACTAGAAGTCAGTCTGGAGAGGAGGACACTTCCTGTGTCCTAACAGTTCAGTCTCAATTTCTACAGATTATTACAGGAATTGTCAGACTGATGCAGAACGTAGGTTTGTACCTGCGTGCGTGCGTGTAAAGTGGCTCAGCTAATGCAGCATTCGCCCAGTGAACAGTCCACTCACGTTTGGTCACATGACAGTCACAAGCTTCAATATGTTTTATTTAATCCTTTTTTTTTGACAAAGTATTGGAACATTATGAAGGTTTCAGGTGTTCAGCAATTTCTTCCCAAGTGATTTACAATCTGAAAAGTGTGGAGTGCACCATTACTGGTCCACTTACAAAAATACATTGTTTGATGACTGCTGTTCCATATTAAACCTAAAATGTCTGAGATCCAAAGGATCAGTTCTAGTAGTAATAATTTAACCTGATAAAACAGTTAAATATTGTATTGTAAATATATTTATGGCTGCAGTCCAGCAGAGCTGTGTCCAGTAAAACTCCGTTCCCTGTGTCGACACTGATGAAGCCTTCCTCAGAGATGAGGTAGGAACATGTATCAGAAGTTGATCTGACTTGACCTCTGGTGTTGTTCTGCTGTCTCTGTGCAGGCCTCATGGGGGACTCGGACCACCCATACAGCAAGTTTGAGAACGAGTGAAGCAGCTGAGCTGGAGGACTGAGCTGCTCTCATGTTTTCACTTTTAGCTTAAATCTCTGCCTTTTTGTCTCCTGATGCTAACTTTGCAGACCACAGCTGGACACACTCCCCCAGATCCAGGCCCAGCCTCCACTTCCTCTTGTCCAACAAACACAAATATGACTGACTGACTGACTGACTGACTGACTGACTGACTGACTGACTGACTGACTGACTGACTGACTGACTGACTGACTGACTGACTGACTGACTGACTGGCTGGCTGGCTGGCTGGCTGGCTGGGTCTGGGAGGATTCTGTTTAATCTTGGATGAATGTGAAGCCTGTTTTTAATTTTTTTTTTCCTAATTTCATGTGTTCAGAAATGTTTTCTCTTTTTAGATATCCTACTTTCACATTAGTCTTTTTGCACTTTGTACATGAAGGAAATTTATAAATTACACAATTATCATCATTGGCGTGTTCACATAAAGAAAGGCTGTGTAAACAAAAAAAGTGTTTTGAGTTTGTTTTTTTTCTTTTTGTGACTAGTTAGCACAGTAGAAGTCTGACACTGCTAACCTTCTACTGCCACTTCTCAGTACATCCATTAGCATCATCCAGATCAAATCTGCTTCTGAAAAATGTTGGCATGAATTCTAAAGCTTGCAGTGAGATATGAAAAATCTCATTATTGATTCACGTTTCAGTTATCATGACTGATTCCAGGTACAGCTCTGAAAAGTGCAATATTGTTTGTCATTTACATTTAGAAATATAAGCTCATCAAATAGATTTATAAGACATAGTGCAATATGATAAGCTTGTATTATTTGGAAAATTAGAATATTAACACCAAATTCTTAAAACATTTTTAGTGTCTAAATATTATGTAACATAACCAAGGGGAGCCCAACAGAATGACGGTTTCACAGGGAGGACTGGAGCCTTGAGAGGATTTTTCAGCAGGATTTGGCACCTGAACACTTTCAGTTTCAGAAAGAGGAGGAGTTTTCAAATAGACAGAGTAAACAATTCCAAGGCGTTAAATTACAATGTCAAATTTTTTGTAAGTCATATTTGGAAGATATGACATTTTTATAACAACTAAAGGTAACATAGATACTTGATTATTCTATAAAATACCAATGTGCTCTTGGAAAAGACATGATACTGCCCCCTTAAATCCAGACAGCATTAATGAAACTTGTATTTGTTTGATCTTCAGCCATTTCTATTGTGTGTTTGTGTGACTTTGTGAGCTCGACCTCAGCTCCTGGCAGACAAACAGCAGGTATCCCCACAGGATGGCTACAAGCCTGGGATGGAGGTAGGTCTGCAGTAGAACAAAGAGCATCAGCCCACTAAAACCCCCGACCCAGAACCAAGAAGGGAGAGACCGTGTGTTATACAGTTGGAGTCACAGTTCGAACCACAGTGCACCACAGAGTGCTTCTGTCTTTAAGAGAGCGTCCTGAAGCCAGGACCTGATGTGTCCCCCTTGGTTGATGTGTCCATCCAACCAAGGGGGTTTCCTGTATCCAGATCCCCTGGTACTCCCAACCTGCTGGGCAGACATTGAACTACCATAGTGACTGGAACACAGAGGGGCTGTGGGAAGGAGGGCACAGTACTATCCCACCTGGTGAAACAGCTCTAACTCCTGGGTATGACTTTAACCAGCTAGCTTTATGGAACCACAGCTGAATTGGTCCAAAACATCTTGGTTCAAGCAATGCAAGAGTTGAAATTTGATGCCTAATCCACAGATGAAATAGCAGCCAGTGGATGTAAAGTCAGTGACAACACAAGTGATTGTCTACTGTTGCTATGTTGTCATCCAGGAGGAGAGAATGCTGCAAGTCAATGACTCCATGCAATCTGCTGGGTTTCCTTAGACAGAAAACTTTTTAGACTAATTTAAATAATAAACTGAGCTGGTAACACTTTATTTGAAGGGGGGTGAATAAGACTGTCATGACACTTTCATAAAGATGACATAACACCTGTCATGAACATGAATAAGCCTTCATGAATATTTATGACTGTTGTCATAAAGCGTCATTTGGTAAATTATGACACTTTTAATACAAAGTTGACATTATTCAAAATGTCTTTGTTATGACAACTTGACATTAACCAATAAATCATTACTGTTTAAACTTTACCTTTAATAACATAAAGTTACCTAATTTTTAAAGTGCAATCAATAATACTTTTATAACAAATTTATATCAGTAATGATTTCTGCATGTGTGGGTTTTCTTTCCTGTTTGTCTTGGATGTCCGTTTTTTGTGGTTCCTCTTTAAAAGATTTTAAGTAGTATAAATAAAGAAATATTTTGTATAAAGTTGAACAATTCCTGTGCATTATTCCCTGCCTGGTGTTCTCATTACATCACTGTTTGATAAGTAGGATAAAATGGAATGTATCTGTGACTGAATTTAGCCTTCTGTCTTGTAAAGTGGCTCCAAATGACATTTGTTGTGAATAGGCATTATACAAGTAAACAGAACTGAATTGAAGTGAGTTGGAAGGGTTGCCAGGAGACAACGTCTTAAGAACAAAACCTACCAGCACCACTGAGGTTTGCAAGCTTCTGGAACATGAATACACATGGCCAAAGAAAGAGATGTTTGTTCATAACGCAATAAGTCTGGAAGAAAAACTAATTGCATATTGACTCAAACATCACCTCAACAACTGTCAAGCACGGTGGTGGAGAGCTCATCATTCAGACTGGCTTTGCAGCCATGGGACCTTGATATATTTACTTAAGACTAACTCAACTAACCACAAACTACAATGATAAAGAAACACCAACAAAGGCATAGAGTTGGGCCTTCATTATGTTTCAGAATGCAGTTGTGCTGTTACTGTACATCCTGTAGTCGCCTCATTAACAGCCACACAACTAATAAAGGAGCAATTCAGACTAATAAAGGGACACATTTGTCTCCATTCTCCCCGAGCTGCAGTGGAAGTCATTAAAAAGCCGCCTGCATTCCTCACATGCTTTCACTGAGACATGGGATGCACATCCAGCTGAGCTGCACCGCTGCCGTGGTGACTGCAGCGCACACACACACACACACACACACACACACACACACACACACACACACACACACACACACACTACGATCAGATTGGAGATGAGAGCTCACACACAAAGCCATGAAAGGAACTCCTGCACTGGGCTTAAATTATTTGATGCGGGCTCTGGACTGCTCGCTCCGCTCTTTTTAACCCATCCACTCCACTGGAAGTCCTGACAGGGAAACATGATGTTATTGTGGGCATGATTTGCTTCAGCAGCGGTGGACAGAGGAGAAAATGCAGAATAATCTTAAGAAGCAATAAAAACAAGCTGGGATGTGTTAGACTGTGTGTAAAATGACCCGGTCCAAAGGGCAGTAACCTGGACCAGTCCTCCTCCTGCAACACATTACGGGGCGGCGCCGCTCTCTGACGGGCGGTTCCCGGGACGAACCGAAGTCCGCATCTTCGCGGGACTCCTCCAATCCCCGCATCCAGGGCGGGGTCCTAGAAAGAGAGAGGGAGGGAGAGAGAGAGAGGGAGAGAGTGTCTCCCCCCCCCCTCATTCGCCCCCCTCCCAAAAAAAAAAAAAAAAAAAAATGACATCTAGATTGCGGCGAAGCTGGCAGCGGCTGGGACCCAGAGAGAAGGGAAAGAAGTGAAATCTGGAGCGGAGGCTTTTCCAGGAGCTCAACCCAGAACAAGCGCTTTGGAGCCTCCAGACTCTGGAGACTTTTTCTCTTTGTCTCTTTTTCTTCTTCTTTTTCTTCGAAATGTAGTTGTATATTTGAGAAAAGAAAAGCCTCAGCCTCACTAGTTGATGAGAGAGGTTCTGTGCCGCTAAGGCTCCGTTTTGCAGAGCACCGCATCGCGCCGCAGCTGCTTTTGCACAGCCGAACATCAGCAACCGTTTCCCCGCTCCAAACCGCAGCCGCCCCGCTGCCTTGGTCCCGAAATGTGCGACCTGATGCCGGCCTCCCAGCCCGCTGAGAAGATAGGCAAGATGAAAAAGTTGAGGAGAACTTTGTCGGAGAGTTTCAGAAGTATCGGTGAGTAACGGGACTTTTCCCCCCTCCACTGGTTTTTCCATCAGCACTTTTTGGGCCAGAACCAGAGTTGGTTGTGAAATCCTCCAGAAGCAACAGCAGAGGGGATCTCTGCTCTCAGCTTAGCTTTTAACACAGTCTCCATGGTTTCTAGTCCTAGAACCGCTCTAAAGATCCCCATGACATTATTCAGATTTTACATTTTACTCTAATCTGTTTAACCCACTTCCGGGAGTCGCTTTGGGGAACAGAAAAGCCACATGTGAGAAAGTGATCATCCGAGAGTCCAGTCTGGTTCTGCAGTAAACCAGCAAGTCTGAGCCCAGGCAGTTACTCATGCTTAATACCACTTCATTGATCAGTAATAATAAACATAATAAAGACAGTTGCAGGTTCAGTGTTTCCAGAGACATTGAAATAGCATTTTTCTTTTCAAAAACTTCTTTCCAACAGGAATATGTTTCTTTCTGTCAGGTTGTTGATTCTGTTGACAAACCCCCCAAAAATGACAGTTTTAGTTGATGTCATGTATGAAAGAGAGTTCCAAGTTTTTTAAGAATTACTTCACAGCAGAACAGCAGAAAAGTGGACCTGAACCCAGGATATTCTCTTTTTTAAAATTGGAGAATAAAAATCTCATATTCACTCAAAGAGATGAAAGTTTTGGAACAATGATATATTTATTTGCTATTTATTTGGTACATTGGTTGAGCTACCATTTTTAAAAACTATTTAAACATTTGTTTTTAAAACAATTCAGTCTGAATCTTCTATTATTATAATAATAATTATTATTATTGATGTTATTAATGAACTGGTTGCCTTTGTTGCTTTTCAAAATGATAGGATTTTGATTTGTTGGTATTTAGTGCTTGTTTTGTCAATACATCACAATTGTAATAATATATTAAACTAACAATTATTTTAGTGATCAGTTATTCTATGGATTATTCTGATGATTATTCAGTTAATCAATTTAAAAAAAATGGGCTCCTTCTTGCAGATAAGCCTTAAATTAAAAGATGAAAATAAACAAATAACCCAATATCTGTTTTAAATAATTAAATAAACATTTTATTGGGTAAAATTTAATAATGTGTTATTCATTGATCATTTGAAATAAAGGATTTTGGATCAACAGATTAATTATTGTACAGCAAAAGGGGCATAATGGGACTTTTTCCCCCCTTTTTTTTCCTTTTACAAAATTTGAACCAATAGAAGTTAAAACTGCCTGATTTACAGATAAAGAAGTTTTTTTATCTTGATTAAAAATTTATATATTAATACAGTTTTGGCTTGAATATAAATGTACTAAATTAGTTCAATAATTGATTCATCCCAATTAATCATCTCAGCCCTAAAAAGTATTGCTTAGGATCAGGGAGCCGAAAGTAAACAAGTTAGTATTTCTGATTTTTCTGCAGTTTACATGTTTTTGCTGTGTTCTTTTTTTCACTGACAGCCATATCTTATTTTAAACTATTGTAAGAAACTGAAAGATTAAAAGAACTCAAACTACTGTAGATCTTGTCTTGTAGCTGATTGGTGGCGGTTCTTGTTGCAGAACAGACTAATGGACCCCTAATGGACATCAGGGGTCCAGGTTGGGTTTGTCTGATGACACTTTGAAATTCCTTCAATGATTTAATTTGGGGTGAAATATGCAAATCCCTTCCAATCCTTCTTTAAACCACCTTCCATTTTTTAAATGGGTCAATGATTTTCTCACACATTAGTGGAGATCCACGTCTCCTCAAAGATATACTCTTTCACAGATCCAAATAGAAACAGCTGCTGTGTGTATTTAATGTAACAATGTTCTGATTTACTGTAATATACCTTGCATGATCAGAAAACTACGAGATTATTAAAATCAGATATTTTTAATAGAGTAAAAATATGTTGAATCTAGTGTTCTACAACCTCGCTTTTACTAAATGCAGTAAAAGCTGTTTGCTTTGTTCAGCATTTTTATGCACTAAAAACAAAAGAAGTAAGGTTTCTCTCCTTCTGGTGTCTGAAAATGGATCATTTTCAGCTTGCTTGGTACCTCAGAATAACCGGCTGGTCGGAAACTCAAAAACCCAATAATTTTCCAGTTAGTGAATGCCCATAACTGATCATTACCAGGTGGCACTGACCATAGTCAAAGAAAACACAGCAATGCAGTAATGTAAGAAGTGGGAATGCATGATATATTGGTATTGGCTCGATAAATAAAACTGAGCCGATATTAATAACCGATATTTATTTCCATCTTGTTGCTGTTTGTTTGGTTATGTGACTTTGATAGTGATGCAGCAAAGGATTGTTGGGAGTCTAGTGAAGCAGAGAAGCAGTGATGAAGCCAGCAATGGTTGTTTTTTTTCAATGTGTCAAAAGGGCAGTAAAATATTTATACTATATCACCATACATAATATGGGTTATCAGTCATAACAACATCATTAGTATCAGATACCGACATTGGCCAAAATGTTAATGTTGGTGAACATTTGGAGTTTTGCTGTCAACCCTGTTACAGTTTTTCTGTTTTTTTGAATGGCTGCTTTGCAAAGTTTCCACAGTAAATGAACCCAACCCATCTCTCTGTGATCGGTTTTAATTTGATGGAATTTTCTGTAGATAACCAAAGATTATGAACAAAAACAAGTTCGATATTCCAGCCATATTTTTTGTGTATGCATCAGTCTTTCTTCTTTGTCTTTAGCATTTTTCTGTAACTTCCTTACATCACTCCAGACAGGGCTAACATAGTTACTTCAGCATTTTTTGTGTTTTTGTTTGTATGACTGAAGACTTTTTTTTTTCTGGAAACGATGATGTAATAAGGAGGATTTTTTTTTTTTTTTAAATATTAAATAATTTAGAATATCCATTATGCTGAGGCTTTTTTATCAGATTTAAAGTAACTTTTGAACATAACCTTTAAGTAGGTAATAATCATACCCACAGGGTTTTATTGATTGAAATAATACAGCATTGTTCATTGACATATGTGCAAATAGCAGAAGTCTTGCCCGCAGGGAACAGATCTTCAACAAATCACAGGGGCCCAAAAGGGCAAAGGTCACTACTTCATGTGAGAGAAAACTGCCCCTGAGAGGAAGCTGGGCAGTAAAGCACAAGGAGACGGGGGGCAGAAACAAAAGGACTCCACTACCATGGATCAGGACTGAATCAGTTTGTCTGGTGACTGGGACAAGGCTGGTGTTTCTGTGGATAAATCGGAACATGCTGCAGATTAAGAGCAGCAAATGTTTTTATTTTTCTCCTCTCCTTGATTTTGCTGAGTTGACGGAGGAGCTGGTACAATATTTATGAGGGTTTGCTCTTAATTTGTTTGTTCTTGGTCTGTTGTGTGTTTTGTTAAGCAGTCACACACTGGGCCCTCATACTCGTCTTTCCTCTCTGAAAGCAGTCATTCTCCTTAAACTGGGAGGAGGACAGAGACAAACTTGGAGGTCATTTAATATCAACGCTGCAGCCTGAAGGATCCTGAAAGAAGGAGCATCAGATCTGATATTTCCTTACAAAGATAAGACTGTCTTCCTAGAGGACATATACAGCCTCTAAGATCAGAAATGAACAGGAGTGAGTCGGGGTCAATGTTGCGAGAGAAAGAAAGATTGGCATTGACTTTTCCTGTGTGCTGATGCACGGCTCTTATTGGCTATCTTTCCTCCCATCTAGATCAACACATCTGAGCATCGATCGGCCGGTTCCTCCTCTCCACGGATGCTTTAACAAAGAATGCGAGCCGTATTGTTTATGTCTTTGTTGCATGGCTGATCCGACTGGTCCCAGTGGACCGGCCGGTACAGATCACTGAACCAAAGCTCCGTACAGCAAAATACGAGGTGGATGTTTTAACTGCAGCAGCCTCACATCTACTTAATGAAGGGAAAGGGGAGAATGTTGTTTTAAGCATCAAGGATGTTTGGAGGTTCCCTGACAGGGAGATGATTTTATCTCACTTTCTGAGCTGTCAGCTGGAATCCTGGCAAAAGGAGGTTCTGGGCCAGCTGCAGTCCAGCCCATCTATAGTAATAGACTAAATAGCACACATTAATATTAATAATATATCAGCTGGTGCAGTTTTTTTCTGTGTTATTGCATCTTTGCCTTTAGTTAACAAATAAAACCAGTTTCTCTGATTCTCTCCAGTGCTGATTGTACTTGTTCTCCCGGCAGGGAGCATCAGTCTCCCTGGCCCTCACAGGAACAGCTGAATGTCCTCTGAGTGTCCGGTTCTGCCACTTTGGGTCACCAGGAGAGGTGTTGTGTACAGAGTTTAGGTGTTTGAGTTGCAGTGTCGAGGAAAAGCATTTTCAGATTTCTTCTGTTTTTGATTTTCGGGGTGTTTTTTCATCCCTGATAGTCCAGCAGATTCGGGTCGGTTGTGGATCTAATTTACAGCATTTGTTCATATTCAGCTGCTGTGGTTCTCTTTCACACTTCACTGTGTCAAATGAACAAAATGCTTTGAAAAAGCTGAAGAAAACAACATACAAATCTGCGAAGAAGGCACTGAACACAACTTCTTTCTTCAGGAAATGTAAACAAAAATGTAATGGAGTCAGATTTTAGAGTTTGCAGGAATTCTCTTTTGTCTTTAGCAGAAAACCTGAAGTCACTTCTCCTGCTAGCGCTAGACTTGCAAGTTTGTTTTAGTTGTATTTACCCAGAATGCCTTGTCCTGTAGTCAGCTTCCTGCCTTTGAAGCAGTCTCCAGTCTTCTTGGCATTCACATAAGCATTCAAACCTTACCAGAGTTTGACTCGTCCAAGCCGAGACCGAGGTTGGTAGGTGGACCAGAGTTCACTTTCTCTGGTCCACATTCACTCCTCCCCAAACAAATCAGACTTTCTAGCCAAACGGACTGGAGTTCAATGAAAGCGGTGTGAATGCACCATTACTTATTCTTAAATGATTCAGATAATCAAACAGCTTTTATTATAAAGCAAAGATTAATTTTAAATGAAGATTTTATTTATTTAAAAAAAATCTATTCAGACCTACCTGGTACTGTTAGCACTGCTAATAAACTCACAGACTGAATCAGATTGTGTTTCAGAGCAACACCTCATTTATTCACTGGCCTTATTTAATGGATTATGATACTCAGCTATCTGGCTGGGAAACATAAATAATAAAGCTTTGATGAAGATTAAACCAACACACTGTAATCAGTCAGAACATTGAAGATTTAACAGAGTTGTTTTTTCTTCCCTCTTTACTGCCGGCATTGTGTCCTTGAGCAAGGCTATTAACCCCAGCAGCTGCTCAGTGACCACAGGATCAGAGTGAGGCTCCACCTTCAGGATGCTGAGATGTGAATAAGGATGTACAAACTCTCATGCTTCTGCTAAACTGGCAAACTGGGGATCTGAAGAAAAACCACCTCAGTGATTCTCTGCATAATGATCACTGGAGTCCAACAGTATCAAGAAACACAAACTGTTCTATTTTATCCTTACAGTATATGACTAATTATTACAGAACATAATTTTATAAATGTCATTCAGTAATTAAGGCATTGGACACATTTGAGTTTTTTTATATTTGAGTAAACCATTTAAAAAGTAAATAAACTTGATTGATTGATTGAAACTCGATTCTGACCTGATGATTTGGTACCAGAACTGCCATCGTGCTTTGTGAAGAAATATTGTCCTGTATCATTTTCTGCCTTCTGTAGCTGCTGGTTCTGTGGCAGGAGATCATATTTAAGTTTTGCATTGAGGGTATTGTGAGTAAAATTCCAAAGATGGGCACACACTGTGTGAATCCTGGAAGCTTTGAGGGTTTGCCTGGAAGAGATGGTGCAACTTCAGATCCAGTCTGTTGCCTGGAGCCAGTGCTGTGGTGGCTGCAACAAAAAGAGTTGTTCAAAGTTAAAGAGAGGTTTGGTTTCAGTGAGCAGTCAGTCACTACTCTGTCCTGTTTCTGTAGGATAGAGGGAAACATATCACCATGGGAGCCATTGTTCCAATGCTGTAGACAGCTGGATTGATCAGGACCAGATTACTCAAACTGCAGCTTCACCACATTCTGTCTCCTATCAGCATCAGACAAATTCATGTATCATCAGCTATTGCATTTTTAAGGAAACTCATATTTTCCCAGTGACCAAACGGTAATGACCATTTTTAATTGTGCTTTTATTGAAAATTTGGTCTAAAAGATTTTAGAGATAGAAGCTTCTATAGAAAACTAATTCATTATGTTTCCTTTTCCATGATTGGTAGTCTATGTGAATGGTTCAAAGAAGCCAAACAATAATCTTCATCAAAGATCTTGCTAAAGATGTTAATTTACATTCACGTCTTACAGAGCTGATGGAAATCAGGTAAACTCATCTAAAGCTGCTGTAGCATCACCTCACATCTGCTTCAGATGGAAATCACCACACTGAAGTTAGCATATGATTTGAGACTTCTAATTCAACAGAATTAAAATGAAGAGGATAGAAGTCAGAAGATACAACTCATATGCTGACTTCTCATGAGGACAGCAGAAACACTAGCAGGTGTTCTTCAGCCAGCAGCTAAATAATCAGTGGGTTGCAGGTTCAATTCCATCCACCTCTGTCGTTGTGTCTTTGGGGAAGAAAGACACGTCACCCGCTCTGCCTGCTGGTGTTGGTCAGAGGGCCTGGTGGGTCTGGAGCATGGTAGCCTCACTTCTGTCAGACTCCCCCAGGGCAGCTGTGGCTACTATCCAGTAGCTTACCACCATCAACGTGTGAATGGATGAATGACTGAATGTAGTGTGAAACTCTTTGGGGTCTTCTGGAGTTGATAAGACGCGATGCATATTCATACAAAAGATGTCGGTTATGGGTGTCTTGTGGATCAGCGGTTCAGCATGTTCAGAAGCTGGAGTCCTCAACACAGATTCTAACCTAATCCTAGGTTAGAATCCTGTCCCCTGTTTTCTGGACATCTTCCCTTTCTTGTCCAGCTACTAACAAATAAAGATTACTAGAAACAAAAATCACATGTTCTTGTGTTGAAATGTTGGGTCATTTGTTAACACGGCAAACTTCGGCTTTATTCAGGCTTGAACTGGTGGAATGAAAGAGGTGGAATATGTTTGGCATACTGGTATTGTCTTCATTTATCAAAATCTCTTCGCAACTCGCTCAAATCAACACAAGGAAATGTATATCAACTTCTAAAATAAAACATGAACCTGTTCATTACATAAAAATCATTATTCCAGCAGTCAGAAATAGAAGCAATGTTAGTATTTCTAACTGACCTAAAACAGGAAATGTTTTGTCTGATTTAATGTCACATAGAGGGAACAAAGCTTTTGTGTAATTTCTTACCCTGAATGTAGATTACAAGTTTCAGATATAACACACTTGTGATATAGCAGTCAGTTTTGTTGTTAGGAACGACACATGGGAATGTGATGTTTTGCTAATGTGTGTTTATACCCTTTTTATGCTTTTTAAGCTGATTCTGCTGTCAGTCCAGTTAGCATTTAATTTGTGTTTTCTGTTTCTCCTTGCAGCTTTCAAGAAGGAAGACAGCGGCTTTGATGAGGTAGGTTGAAATCGTAGGATTTTGGGGAGCGAGTGCCATCCCTGGCCCCGTTTCAGGGCTGGGCTGTAGCGATGTGTTTGCCTGAAATGATTTTTCAAGGTCTCGTTGGCCAGATGTTGTCATGAAGGACTGCAGTGCGGTTGATTTTTTTCAGTTTCCTGTGGATCCTGTGGGAACTTGGTGCATATGGTGTGTAATATATTCAGCTCTCATCTCAGAGACATCCCCCTGGGTCAGTCACCATCACAGGACTGCTTTGGCCTGCCAAGTGAGACACCAAACCAGACTGGCTCTGCTCTCAGGACTCAGATGGAAATGTATTGTATTATTTTCCTTCATGGGAACGCCTGAGTTTTCCCTGCTTGTTGTGTTTCAAACAATTCAATTAGCTCAGGATCTTCTCTCTTGTTCATATTAGCTGTATTTCCTTTACAAATGTGCACAAAACTTTGTCATTATTCCGCTAAACTAAAATGCAAACACAATTTAGCAATTGTGTTGTTTCCGTTAAATACAATTAACACAATTAAAATCACACATGAAAAAATTTGTCATGAGTCATTAACAAACATGCTGTGCCATAATCCTCCTACTACTTTTCATGGTTTGCGCCAGTGGAAACATCTAGTTGATCAAACCAATATTGATATGGCCAAAAAAAAAAAAAAAATCACCTCATCCTAATGGCAAAACTTTTTATAAACATTTAATAAACATTTTTTTTTTTTTTTGCTGCGTTTTCATTTTTCCTGATGGTAAAACAAATCTAAAAGCTGCTTGGTGTGTGTGTTGTTTTATAATAATACAGTTCAATTCTTCTATTTTGTGTGAAAATAAGGAAAATCGCGTCAGTCTCAGTTTTCCCTGATTCTTATCGAGCCAGCAGGCCTGAGCTGGTCTGACATTGCAGACCTGAATTGATTTCTCCCATTTCTGCCTCAGCTCCAGTGTGATAGTCAGCTGCTTGATGAGGCAGTCAATGGCTCTCAGACTGCTGGGACGCCATGTTTGTGCTTCCAAGGTAATCATGCCTGGCTTGGGTTTAGGTGCAGCGCAGCATTGCTGCGTTGCTGCAGACGGCTTCCTGAAGCGCTGCCCCTGCTCCTCAGCAGACACATGGCTTCTCCACTTTGGAACTCTTCCAGTTCATGGTCTGCAGGGACGCTGCCTGATGAATAAGTGATAAGACGGCAGCAGTCTTTGTGTTGAGGTTGCATGCATTGTGTTGCTGCTGTGTGGTTGCTTTATTTGTTCTGTTAGGCAGAACAAATAAAGTTTTACATGCAGATGTAAAACTATTCAGCTGAAACCTGGAGCCATCGAGCAACAAACTGACACAGAACTGCTTCGGGGTTTCATCCTCAGGAACTCTTTCTAGTTTTGCCTTCCTTTGTGTTTTTACTCTTTGCCTGACTTGGACTGATTATGCATTTTGTTTCATCTGAATTTGAGACGGTTATTACATCTGCATGAGTTACTATATTTTTTCCCCTAAAAGAAACATGATCACACGGTGAGACAGATTAAAAATACCTTTTCGAAAATAATCTTTAATCAGACATGAATCATATTTTTCAGTAAGTTCACATATCCCTATACATATTTTTTTGGTTTGATATAATTTTTTTATATCCCAGGTTTTATTAGCCATAATCAGAAAATCCTCATAACCAACAAAAAAAGACTTGAAAACACCAGCCTGTCTGTAATTAACCTACATAATGCTTCACCAATTGATGGAGTTACTGGAATAGATATATTTTTTTTTGATAATTAGCTGATTTTATGAATATCATTGTATGTACTTGCATGCTGGGCTGCATTTACAAATAACAAATTTATATCGTTTTCTTGTTGTGTTTGTTATGTAAACAGACCTCACACATGCAAAAAAATCTCCATCGGATGCTGGTTAAAATCTGCTCAACATGATTCACCATCGCTCTGTGAACTCAGACTGAGAGCAGCACGAAGTTTTTAGACAATGACACAATTTAAACACTTTGGATAACAGCATCGTTATTACAGTTTATGTCCACAGTTCATGAACATGCTGAACTTCTAACAAAAGCTGACAACATGGCTTAATAACATGAATACAAAATGTCTGCATGGGTGGAAAATGAATAGGAAGGAAGTGGAGGAGGACTGCTGAACCTTGTCATCACCAGTAACTGTTACATTTACATTAAGGTCAAAGAGATGTATTTATTTATTTTTTCCAATCTGAATCACAGTAAATCTGGATTACTGAAATATGAGTCCAATTCTTTAAATGTTGGTGGAATTACTTCGGATAAGCTGAATTAAAAACTTGAGTGAAATGAACTCAAACTGGAACGAGTGATTGGACCATGCTGCTTCCTAATTTCTTCCCTTCCCACCGATGTCTTTATATTTCTTGGCAGACATGAATATTCACATATTATTGGACAATTCCCCAAAATGATTTGGACTGTGCATTCTGTGTTGCTGGTCATGAAGGCACTTCTGCAGTGAAACAGACCTTTTGTAGAAGTTGGTAGCATGGGAATTAGCTTGACCATTTGCCATAAATGGGACTCGCTGCTGAAGAAGAATGTGAAGAATCCAAGGGGGGAAAGCTGTCTTCCTGTTCTGTAATATGACAGACCACAGCCACAATACATGAAGATGTTTGGATTTAATGGCATGGGAGCCAGACGGACAGCAGCTCTGGTTTACCTCCACTTCCTGTTGGACTCATGATCATTCGATCTGACTGCAGGTCATCCACATTTAACAGACAGAACAAACACAACCTACTACAATTTCTATTCAGTAGATGTCCTTGTAGAACAAGTGAAAAATACATTTCTAATTTTATATGTATAAAAAATATGTAATAAAACATTTATCTGGAGGATATTGATGAAGTAGTGACTTCCTTCAGATCAACCAAGTCCTGATAGCTGAGCAGAACCCACTGTTTCTCCTCATTCCTGAGGAACAGTAACTAATCTGTGCAACTCCTTGGTAACTACACCAGTCTGCATCTTGAGTCTCTATCACTAAAGAGATTTTCCTGAAGCAAAAGTTCTGTCTCTATTTTACTGAAATGCAAAGATTTCTTAGAAAGCTGGAAAGTGCTACGCTCATCAAAAACCGACTGAAGGGAATAAAAACCCGTGCTGGGCCAGGTTCCCCCTCTAGATGTCTGTTTTTATGACCTGTCACTAAGTGTATGCAAATAATTTCACATTGGCAGTTTTCTTGTTAGCTTACAGAATATTTTACGGTAAATGATTTTCTCACCAGTCATCTTTGGACCTTTTTCCTTTGTGTCTCTGTTTCTCTGACGTCCCTCTCCATTCTGCCTTTGTCTTGCTCCAATTAGATTCTCATTCTAAAGGGAGCTACATAATTTCTTGTGTACTGTCATTATCAAAAATTGATGTAGCAATTTTTGTTCTTTAATTACCTCAGGTTCTCAGAGAATCCATTAGAATCAAAACTGTATCATCTGTTCCTATGAATTCTGGAGAGTGTTCTACTAAAAAAAACAAACAAATAAAACTAAAAACCAGCTCTTCTGCATCAAGATTCTTGCTGCTCTTATTTGTTTGTGTCCCTGCATGAGTGTGGAATCCTAATGTTCCTTCTGCATTTGCATTAGGGTTATATAAAACCAGACTTTTTCATCATTTCCCATACAAATGTAGATAAACATTATTTAAACAACCATTTATTCAATGGTATCTTAGCACAAGACTTTTAAGTTTGGTCTTAAAACTTGACTTTAGGTGAGTATTAATCTCTATGTTTTGGGCAACTAAGTGACAGAGATGCTGCTACTGTATGATGTGGAGACAAACGGCACATCTCTGATTTTCTGCGGTAAATCAGCTCAATCTCAGTCAGATTAGACACAGAGCATCTGTAAAAATAGATTTTCAGTCTTGCCATGGATTTATAAAAAGATTTGGCTCTGCAGCTTGACTAGGACATTCTAGAACATTATATCCAGCGATCTAAAACATTCCACTGAAACTGAAATGCTTAAGTCTTTATGACGCTGTTTGTTCAATAAAGTTGTTTGACAAAAGCAGCATTTATATTGATATAATAGGAAAGAAGCTCCATATGTTAGAAATCCCTGCAAATTCCTGCCTGCAGTATTTCCCATCAGAACATATGCATACATAGATGGACATTTAATTTATTCCTTTCTGGATCAACTTCAGTTGTTTAGTTTGACAGCTTTGAAAATAGCAATAATTGCAGAGTGCTGGTAGGGGCCTCTGAAATGACAAAGAAAAGGCTGTTGATTAAAGCACTATCTGCTTCATGTTCAGAAGATCCGCAAGCTTTAATGTGCTGTATGGATGGAATCCTTGACATGAATCCAATAAGGTATTGGGTGAGAGAGGGGAATCAACAGAGAGGAAGCTCTCCAACTTATCAGCCCTTGAATCAACAGAGATAAAAGCGCTTTGATCAAAGTGTGAGAGGGGTGGAGGTGGTTTGGAGGCAGTTTAACCTGCAGCGCTCAACACTTTGTGGTGTTGATTAGAGCTTCCCCCTCAGTCGTGATAACAGTGTTTGTGACCCCCACCCAGGAGCCGCTCACCTTGCTGTGGAACATTACGGTCCTGTGCTGCTCGCCCTGTTGTAAACATTTGGGGTCCGGTTTTTATCAGCCCTGCAGCTCAGGTTTTTGAGTTTCATCAAGCGGGGTTCTGAGGTCATCTAGAATGATAGTGAGAGATCAGATGGGCTAAGAGGATTGTGATTACTATTGAAAGGGAAGAGTTTAAGGATGACTTTGAGACAAAGGGAGGTCAGTGTGTCCCACTCTGTGGGCCTGAATGTGGCGAGAAAGCTCAATGTGAAGCCATTTCAAAAATAAAGTCACTGCAGTGGAGCCTATTTGGAAAATAGCTGGCCCATAAATACTTCAGACGCCTCTGAAATACTTAGAAAGTCCAATATGGTGAATTAAAATAGTTCAGTCACCAAATATACCTTATTTTGCATTATTACCCACAGTGGAATCCACATTACCAAGAATCTCTCTTATTTAGATAGGCAGTACAGCCAAACAGCGACAGCAGGAATGAGAACAAGAGTTTCCATAGCTGATCATCACCTCACCTTTCACTAAAATGATCACTGATCACTCTACTTTAAACACTTGCATTTTAATATGAGACTAATTTGAATATGTCACTTGTTCTGTCAAAAAATGAAAATTCATCCACCATTGAACACCGAACCTGCTTATCCTCACAGGTTAATGCAGGGGCCCAGGGGTACGGGGTACAGCAGGTTGCCATTGCATCACAGAGGAACAGAAACACACACGACAATCAGCTTTACACACACACACACACACTAATACGCAGTTTCAAAACCCCTGTTAACCTATCTTTTGTGTTTTTGGAACCAGGGATGAGCCCATGCAAAGAAAGCACCCAGTCTGGGTTTTGAACCCAGGACCTTCTTGCTGCAAGACAACAGTTCTATCAATTACACCACTGTGCAGCCTCAAGAAATTAACATAGGCCTGTTTTTTATTATTATTATTTTTTTTTTTTTATCTGGGTTGCATGCTGACAGTGATGGCTCAGGGACATCTCTCTGACTGGGCCCTTTGATGTGATGGTATTGTTGGGTCCCCACAGTACTGAATGACAGGGAGCCTCTACAGTC